TTCCGACGACTCCAAGCCCGGAAAGTCTTATATGGCTGGACGCTCCCATAATGATTAGAATTTTTTAGCGAACTAGAACAAACAGATATGGAACAAGTCAAGTTTAGGGGCCCCACTCGGATCATTTTGAAATGATTACCGTAAGTAGCCCTCCTTGTGCTGATTACAGTCATATACATTTCATGTGGGGAAATGCATACTTCCCGAGATATTGGCCTTGAAATTTCGGAACATATTTTGTTTAAAACAACCCTTTTCTATTGCCACCAGGGGCTGATTAAAACAACATACTCTCCGAATTTTCAAGGCCCATATCTGGGGAAGTATACATTTCTCCCCATAAAATATATATCACTGTAATCAGTTCACAGAGGACTATTTACTGTAAAAATGTCAAAGCGATCCAAGTGGAGCCCCTAAACTTGACTTAAGCCCATGGTATTTGAATCTTCTGCCAGCCATTCATCTTCGCTATCATCCAAAAGAGAAAAAAATCTGTTTGTCAATTTTTAAATTTCTTATTTGTTTTTTTTTTCAAGCAAATGTGTGTGCGTCTGTGCGTGTGTCCCTTTTGTTGAAGCGCTAACTCTCATATGCTTTATTTCGGACTGTATATCTCTGGCAATCAAATGTCAAATTCATAATTTACTAGATTTACGATTTCGTGCTAGGCCAAATTGGTCTTGCAGAAAATAGGAGAAGAGAACGCCATTTTGGTTTTAACTCTCTTAAATTTAACTTCAATTTTTCCTACTTTTCGGTGTAAGGAAACGCTTTTCTAGCAAAAATTGCAAAACTAGTAATATATAGTACTATATTGCAGGTTTGGGAACACAGCTATTGTATTTAATTTGTCTAGTCATAAACCCATGGTACAATTATAAAAGGTAACAGCAAATCCCAGCTGATTTGATTTCAACGTAATACTAGTGTCAATATGAATTTGACAAATTACGTTTTTAAAAATCACTCAACAGGAAAATTGGGAACGCATACAATTTGAAATTGTTCTTTATTAAATGTGCTCCCGTATTCAATTTACTCAATCTGCCTGCTGGGAAAGTTTCAGGAAGCAAATCTTTCTTCAAGGAATAACTCGCTATTCCCAACATTTTCATATGTGTTACACATATATGTGGCAATGGCTCAATTATAGGAAAGATGTGGAAGCGATAGAAATATAAATTTTAAAGATTTTCATTCATGTTTTTCAATTTTTATTTTGAGGATTCGAAAATATTTCATTTTCAAAATAAAAATAATTTGATGATAATTTGTTTGTTTGTTTACATTTTTCTGTCAAATGAGTTGACACTAGTAGAACTTACAACAACAAATTTCCATGTGGTTGTTGTATCGTTTTTTGTACAACAACACTTGCTGTTACCTTCTATTATTATACCATGTCATAAACCCATATTTATTTTCATTACAGTACGTTTACATTACACCGGATTAAGTTAACCCAGTGGGTTTTAATTGTCAATTCCATTACATATTTGTCAAATAAATCCTCATAAAGTAGATTAACCCTGAAAAAAGTTCTAGTGCACATATCGTTTTAGAATTTATTTTACTTGTGAAAATCCTAATTAAATTATTTTTATAATTTTGTTATGAAATCCCACCAATAGAAAAGACCTAATAATGTTTTTACACGATATGTATTTTACATATGTGCTGTCACTTATTTCATCCATATGTAATTCTTTATGGGTGTCAAAATCTGCAGCGTACACAAAACTTTTATTTAAAACTTTGAACCAACCATTTAAACCGTTTCATAAATTTTGTAACCTGGGAGTAATTTTGAAGTCTTCCTTTAAAAAGATTTACAAAAAAAGGATTGTTTTCACATAATCATTCAGACGTTGCTCTTGCTTATGGCTAAAAATATAACAGTATTTCCTATTATTTCTATTTTCGTTTATTTCCCTTTAATTTTATTTAGTTTGTGGCAATCTTTACTAAATTATATTAATTATTTTCATAACTAACTCCTAGCAATAAAAAGTTCCTATTCATTTTTTAATAAAACATGTGAAAACAATTGTTTGTAAATCATTTGAACTTGAATATTTTATATACGCTACGCGTCATACGTCACCATTTAGTCACTCAACAAAATGTATACGCTCTTAATACAACCCTGTTGCTCAACGGACGAGTTGCCTACTCGGTAGGAGAGTTGTATTCAATAAAGCCATTGAAAAATTTGCTAATCAGAAAAAAATTTAAATGGACGCAATTTCTCAAAATAATTTCGTTGATAATTGACAATAAGTTTATTTTAATTACATTAAAGTTATTAAAAATATTATTAGTGACTAAAACGGACAAATGCGTGTAAATGTAACATTGATTTCGGTATGTGTGATTGTGGACATTTAAATAAATTTTTTTGTGAATATAAAAGTGAAAAAGATAACCTTAAAAACAAAAATTTCTGACTAAATTGTTCATAAAAGTGGTTATGGCGGGGAGGCACAAGAATTATAAAGCCAAATTAATTGGCAAATATTTAGGATATCTCGAAGTAAGGTATATACTATTTTTCATTTGTTTGTATATATAATTGCTAAATACGATTTCAATTCAGAAAAAAATAATTGTTATTCCTATTTTACAAATTTTCTACAATTGAAAGCGGTCAATTTATTGATATTTTGCAAATATTTTTGACAAGTGGCTCTGGGATTCCTCTGTAGAACGGAGTTTAATGTCTTTTTTTATTTATACATGAAATCAATACTTCCTGAGGTATGTGGAATCCCGTACCTCAGGGAAATACCCTATTTTTTATTAATTACTTTCAAGACTACCACTCAGAAACGTTTGGCAATTTTTTATTGCAACCAGCCCTTTGATGCTGATTACAATGTAAGTATTATATTTTTTTTTGGTTCAGATTGTATTGTTCTATACATAAGAGTAATTCTTAAACCCCCAAAACGGAAGCCTGGCTATTGTTCATGTAGCCCATTTTTCCTCCGGTTCATAGAAGACAGCCTTAAATGCTGGCCTGCTCCTTAGAAAGAAAATTAGATTCTCATAGGCCAATATTTCACCCGTCCATTGGAGAAAGTCTTATATCTATATAGAACAAATTTCAAATAGTAATAAAATTCTGTCCGCATTTGAAAATAACGCAGTAAGTTTTAGGGATATTTTCAGCCTCAGTCAGGGAGGGTATATGCACTTTCTTACGGCAAAAATGTGCCTCATCAAAATATTGGTGTTGGATATCATGTTTCTTTGAAACAAATTTTTTTAAGACAATTTACAAATGTCCGTCTGTCTGGCCGGTTGGAGCGCACGTTCGAACATCATCCAATTTTAGTTGAAGTTCGAATATGGGGAACATCGGTCCCCTCTTTCCCCCACAAAATGGTCACAATTTCGCTGAAAATTAATTATATATCATACGAGCATATTTTCATTATCAAGCCTATATCAAGTCCGAAGATGGGACCCGTTGGTTCACTCTTAGTACCTCCCACAAAATGCGTGTAAATATTTTTACCAAGCCGAGATCAAATCCTAAGATGGGACCCATCGGTCCACTCCTTCTGGCACATCCCCCACAAATAGTCAACATTTTTAAAATTTGTTGTTAATCCAATAATAATATTATGGAATGTTCGACTTGATACAAAATGTGCGCATCGTAATGTTACGGTTGGTCCTCTCCTTCTGGCAAATCCCCCACAAAGGGTCAACAAATCTGTAAATGTAAATCGCCAACAATTCTATTTGGTTGTCGGTGACCGTATATTACAATTTTTGTATTAATTATTAATTAAAATATTTTTGAGTGTTAGGAGGTAACACTCAAAAATACTAAAACTTTGCGAAAAAATAAAATAAATTTTAACACCTAAAATAACGATATATTTTTTTAATTCGTCAGAGTTGCACATGTTTTGGCCCAGCTAAAATCGAGTTATCTATTTTATCGATAAATTTTACAGGAAAATATTAAAAATTTCTGGGAAAATTTACAATTACATTTTCAATTAGACCTAAAGCGTTGAAAAAAAACCACGTTGAACTTTTTTAATATCAAATAAAGAGATTACTACATATTTCCACATAATCAATTTCAGTTGCAAATGTTTTCACCACCACTGTATATAAGAAAATAAGAGTCAACAAAGACTAACACTTATTTACTTGCTATAACTCACATTGCTGAAATTTATTTTCAAAAACTGTATCAGAACTCATTAAGGACTTCTTACCTTCCGGCTGTTTTATGTTCCATTACAATTTTTTTTTTTCAAATAATATGAAATTAAGATTTTGGAATGAAATATAGATTTTAATGGTCTAAATACGGAATAAGACTTATGTAACCGATCAATTTTAGTGACCCCATTTGACTGTCATTTGATATTTCGATATATTAGGTTGAGGTCTATATAACTACTTAAAATTACGGTTATTCTATTGAATGGTTTTATGAACTTTTTTAAAGGATTGTTAAATTTTTTGAAATTTTGTAAAAGTAAAATCCCAATGTTTTATACATTTATTGATAGTTTAAATCCTAATTAAATATCACAAACGTTTGGCTAAACAAAAAATAGATTGAACTGAAATACTCTCTCTTTGACAAGGGAATTCCCATTTCTTTTTTCATTCACAAGAAATTATCTACACAAAATTATCATGGTCAAGGCTAAGCATTTGTTGCTTAAATGAAAAACAGGCTGTATACACATTCAAAAAATCACTGAACAAAAAAGTCTTCTTGGTGAGTAAAATACGTATTCCCCAGCAGTTGTGATAATGTGATTCCCCGCAACACTTGGTGTGTTCCTTATTCAACAAAAACACATCTGAAAACCAAGATGTGTCATTTGTCGTACATGCAACCAAAAGAAATATTCACTATAAAAGCTTAGGTTACGGCGAAGAAAGTCATCAGTTTCTTATTGAACTTAAAGCAGACTAAAGCTTAAGAACAAAAACATTTTGCACAACACAACACGCTTTTTTAATTAAAAACAAATCAAAATGAACTTTACTAAATTATTTGTCTTTGTTGCCTTTGTTTTGGCTGTCTTTGTTGGTCAGAGTGAAGCAGGATGGTTGAAAAAGATTGGCAAGAAAATTGTAAGTATAATTTTTCTTAAATTTAAAAATATATTTTATTAATTGTTGTTATATGTATTTATTATAGGAACGTGTTGGACAACATACCCGTGATGCTACCATTCAAACTATTGGCATTGCCCAGCAGGCAGCAAATGTGGCTGCAACATTGAAGGGGAAATGAAACATTTTTTAGTAATATAAGAAACATGCTAGTATAAGTAGATTTAAATACTTTTTAGATATTTATTTTTATTATTAAATCTTTATTTTGTAATGAAAAACCTAAGGGACCAATAAATAATTACAATATGCTTCAAATAATAAATTAAGATTAAAAAAATTAAGATTTAAATAATATCTAATTACGAAAAAATACACTTATGACACTTCACAATGGAAGAACTACTCCTATCAATATTTATTTAAATAAAAAGTTTATATAAAAATTGAGATATGCCGTGTTATAGTTTACAGAAATATTTTTAACGCATAACTAAAGGGGATATTGTTAACACATACCAAACCAGATTTATGGGACACTTAATTGCATAATTATCGTGCTTAAGGGGTTTAATTTCATCCGAATGTTTTAAAATTATGGCTTCTTCTGAGGCATAACGGAGGGATTCATAAGGGGTTTACTTTCATGAGAATGAAGAGTAGAGATTTACAAATATGGCTTCCTCAGAGACATATGTATATGAGCTGTGGAGATAGATGCAAAGTGTATATCATTTCTTACAGACTGTATACAAAATTGTAGACTACTCTTTCGTCCAAATAACGCTGAATATTAATCATCAGATTTAAGTTCATACTTGCTTTGTTTAAAATATTTCTCCTATTATATTAAAGTTATTGACATTTTTTCCATTGATTTGTGGCTATCTCTGTGCTGAAAATTACTTCTAAAGATTTAGGAAGACCTAGACAGGATGATGCAGAAACTAAACTAGAGTTCTCCACCCTAAATATTGTGCCTATTGGTCCGCGTTTTGGGGCAACTCTCATATATCGGCACTCCACAGTATTTTCTTCTTTTATTCCGTTTGAAATTTGAGGACTATAAGAAGAGTGGTATTTTTAAAATATGTTATTGGATTCTTAAAATATCTTTTTGAAGGACTGGAAAAAGCGTGGGTTATTACCTATTTTTTGAAGGGCTTGAAAAAATCTGGATTTTTAAATAAATTTTTGATGGACTAGAATTTAAAAAAGTAGGAAGGCTAGAAGTATTTAAAAAAGTAGGAAGACTAGAAGAAATTTGGGATTTTTAAAATATTTGTTTGAGATCTATAAGAAGTGTGGATGTTTAAAATAGTTTTTGCAAGATTAGAAGAAGCTTGAATTTAAAATTTGTTTTTTAATGGACTATGTGAATTATAGGTCTTTATATCCTCAGCCTTATATCTAATGAGGGTATATACACTTTGATACAGTGAAAATGTGCCTCATCGAAATATTGGTTTATCCACAAATATTCAAAATTCATTTGTGTTTTAGGATTTTCAATTTTACCTTAAATATAAAGTCGATTGAATATAATTTAATATTTTGAGTTGTTTATAGTTCGAAACCCCATCCGATGTACATACAAAAATTAAAATTCTACCTCAATCAGTTAAATAATTAAAAATAACATTTTTTGTTTAAAAATTTGTTTAAATTTTTTCACATTCTTAATGTTTATTAAAATAAATTACTTTATTTGAGTGTAATGAGAAAATAAATAACTTATTAGTTCCGTTCCAGAACCTAAAAGAATGTACTCGTTTTGCAACATTTTACTCGAAAACCGTTCTTCAACCCACAAAACTGGTAAAACATTGAATCAAATTTAAGAGAGCACAAAACAAAATGGCGTTCTCTTTGTAAACTTTTTACTCGAGAAATTTTCCCGAGTAAAAATGGTAAACATGAATGCCTACTTCTGATTGGTTGTTATGTTGATTTTGAAGTATTGCCATCTAATTTTGGCATATTTACTAGATTTGGGTTCCTAAACTTTTTAAATTAGCAATTTTGAAATGTTTCCCTTTTACTAGATTTACTATTAAAAAAGTTCTGGAACAGACCAATTGTAATCAAGTCTTTTTAATTCTAATGCATTTTTGTAAAGATAAATGTTAAAATTATTAGCCTTTTAATGTTGCAGCAACATTGGCTGCCTGTTGAGCCACACCAATGGTTTGAATTGTAGCATCACGGGTATGTTGACCAACACGTTCCTGAGAAAAAAAAAACAACAAAATGAAATAAAAAACTTATAAACATACAAAAAGTAATATTACTTACAATTTTCTTGCCAATTTTCTTCAACCATCCTGCCTCACTTTGTCCAATGAAAACGGCTAAAACCAAGGCAATAAAAACGAAGAATTTATTGAAATTCATTTTGATTTCTTTTTAATTCGAAGCGGTGGATATTATAGGAGAGCTAAGCTTTTGTTTCAATGCTGTTTGTCTGAAAACTGATGAAGATTTTGCTATTGATCACAGCTTTTATAGTTATCTGTTTTGTAAAAGTTGTGGTCTTTAGTTCGGGGTATACAGGAAGCTTAAATGGGGATTTACTTTTTGAGATATTGAAGAGCAGATGGTCAGCAAATATGACGAACACAATGTTTGGCCGCAAAAAGTACTTTCTCCTATTGTTGTTCTAACTTGTGGTTATTTGTGTTTATTCAGCTTGCTTTTGCTGCCAATTGTGGGTAGATGAATATGCTGAAAAAAGTAACGTACGTTTCAAATTTTAGATGGGGATAACAACAAATTAAATGTTATTGCATAACGCGGAGTTTCCAATTCACCAATATTAACTACCCAAGAGGATCTATCAAAAATGTATTTATTCTGGACCATCTCACCCTCCATTACAAGCACGGAGTGGATAATGAGTATGAACAATTTCGGCAGTTTGAAAACTATTTTTTTTAGAAAATTTAAAAACGGACAAAAATAATAATATGGGCAATATTTCAAGATATTTGCACCCTTTTGCCCGATTAGAAGTCAACAGCATCTCTTCTATAAACTGACATATTTTCCGAATTATTCCAATATTCAGTACAACCCTTCCCTCCAGATTCCCTCGGTTATTAATTGTGGTCTATAGATCGACTCAAACACAAAAAAAATAAGTCTTTGGTCAGTTTCATCCCCAAATTATTATCTGATCATCACCGAAAATTGTAGGCGTTGTTCTTGACCATAACTGCAAGTTCATTAAAATATACAAAGCGATCAGCGCAATATTTCCACCCTCTAGTGTGGTAACGGGTTTCTAAATATTAGGTTGGGGAAAAAGAAATCTATTAGGTCGGCCGTCGAAAATATCGATAACATCGGAGAAATGATCGCAGTTTACCGGCATGTTAGCAGTCGTAACATCTCGCCCAGGAGCTATAAATCGACCATAAAACAGTTTTAAACCATTTACACAAAGCTGGATTCAGAAAGAAGTTCGATGTTTGGGTGCCACACCAATTAAAAGAAAAAAGGATGGATAGTATTTGCATCTGGAAGCTTGGCCAAACGGAATCAGATAGACCCATTTCTTACACACATCTACAGTGACTCGCCAGAAACTTTGGTAGTTTGGTTGGGAAGTTTTAATGCATCAGCCATACAGTCCGGACTTGGCATCAAGCGATTTTCATATTTTTCTTGCATTGCAAAATTTCTTTAATGATAAAGAATTAGTATCTAAGTAGAATTGTAATAATCGACTACTAGAGTTTTTTGCAAATAGAGAGCAGGACTTTTATGAGAGAGACATTATGAAGTTACCTTTAAAATGGCAACCAAACAAATCCGCCGCTAAATCCACAGCCACTCTGTTCACTACATGGACGGCTGAAATGATGCTCCCTCTGAACATCATGGTCGATGGTGCAATAATTCCGACCACTAACTACCCAAAAATTTTTGGAGTAACGTTCGATAGCTTATTTAAGTCGTCCGCGCAAGCCACCGCTATTTGCGATAAGATGAGAAGTAGGAACAAGGTCCTCAAGTCGCTTGCCGGCAGCTCTTGGGGGCTGATAAAGAGACCTTGTTGACCTCTTACAAAGCTATGCGGCGCCAGTGTGGTATGCGAATGTGGAAGAACATACAAACCTGCCAGAATGCCGCCCTGAGAACTGCGACAGGGTGCCTCCTTATGACGCCAGTGGACCATTTACATGAGGAGGCAATGGTCTTACCCGTACATCGTCACAACAGGATGTTGTCGATGCAGTACCTGCTTGGGTGTTATCGTAGGAATCATCCATTCCATAATCTTATGGATCTAGAGAGAGAGAGGTCCAACGGTATAAAAGAGAACCCCTAGATCGTGAGGCTTATCGAGCAGGAATTACCAGAATTCACACGGAAGCAGTCCCCCAGGCAATGGACCAATACCGTGTGAATGCAGTACTTGGAGTCCACCCACCACCTATAGCAGCAGAAGAACGACAGCTGCCTAGACAAACGAGAGTGGTTTTAACCCAACTAAGATCAGGATGGTGCAGCCGCCTCAATTCGTATTGGGCCCGAATTGACAGCGCGGTACCAAACACATGCCCTGCATGTTGTTTTGGACCTCACGATATGCTGCATCTCTTTAACTGTACTGCTAAACCCACTCATCTGTCTCCAGAATCTCTTTGGACGCAGCCGTTCCAGATTGCAACCTTCATGAACCTGGAAACAGAGGAGTCAGAACCAGATCAAATTAAAGGTTAACAACTTGGATATACTAACATCTTCTCGGGTCTGTGTCTATGTGCGCCCAGAATACAAATTTTGTAATTTTTCACACAAAGTCAACTTCTATTTGACCCGTAAAATATTGATCGATCTTTATCGAAACAGACATGCTTATACTTTGGCCCCATTCCCTTCTTTACCAAAAACAATATGTATCTCCATTGGCTAGAACCGGTCCTACATGTGAAGATTGGTCCATAACTATGATCTGTATCGTGTTTAGAAATTACAATGGACAGACGGACAAACATGTCTTGATCGACTTAGTTTTCGAGATATGACGATCGGTATACATAAAGGCGGGTCTATTACCAATATTTCACGGCGTTACAAACTCTTGGGGCTTTTTGGAATATTTAGTTGGTGAATTATTTCTTAGATTTCTTAGATTAGATTTTCTCTTTTCTCAAAAAGTCTTATATTCCTTTAAGATTGATCGCCTAGTCTAGTCAAGTTAAATATTGCTGAACTTTTGGGCTAAAATAAAAATTAGCTTTGAAGTGAAATACTTTTTTCTTTGACGAGGGAATTCCCATTTCTTCTTTCATTCACAACGAATTATCTACACAAAGGTCACAGTCAAGGCTAATCAACCGATAAAGTTCCTCATTTGTTGCTAAACGACAAGGAGGCTGTGTAGACATCAATAAAACCACTAAACAAAAAAGTCTTCTTTGTGGGTAAAATACGTAGTCCCCTACAAATATGGTAATGTGATTCCCCCACAGTTGGTGTGTTCCTTATTCAACAAAAAGAGAGCTGAAACACAAAATGTGTCATTCGAAGAACATGTAGCCAACAGATAGATTGACTATAAAAGCTTAGGTTGCGGCGAAGATCGACATCAGTTTCGTATTGAACTTAAAGCAGAATAAAGCTTTAGAACAATCACAATCCACACATACAACAATTTTTAATAATAAAAAAATCAAAATGAATTTTAATAAATTATTTGTCTTTGTTGCCTTTGTTTTGGCTGTCTTTGTTGGTCAGAGTGAAGCCGGATGGTTGAAAAAGATTGGCAAGAAAATTGTAAGTATAATTTCATAAAATTTAAAACTATATTTTATTAATAGTTTTTGTTTATATTTATTATAGGAGCGTGTTGGACAACATACCCGTGATGCTACCATTCAAACTATTGGCATTGCCCAACAGGCAGCAAATGTAGCTGCAACATTGAAGGGGAAATAAATGATTTATTAGACTTATAAAAAACGTGATAGTATAAGTAGATTTAAATGATTGTTTTAAGTATTTATTTAAATAATAAATTTGTAAAAAAATTAAATTTTAGTAATATTATTCTTATACAGTAAGGATGCTATAAAAACAGCCTGGCCTGGAATAAAATAATATATTTCATAAGAGGTCCATTAGAAGCGTGTATTTTTAAGGGTATCAAAGGTGTACAGTTAAAAAATATTAGGTTTGGGAAAAAATAAATCAATTTTTTTGTGTCCACTTTTATCTCCTGGGCGATGTTACGACTGCTAACATGCCGGTCAACTTCGATCATTTCTCCGATTTTATCGACATTTTTGACGATCGGCCTACCTGAGCGTGGTGCATCTTTAACATAAAAATTCCTGAACGAAATCTACGAAACGAAAATTGCATAACCATTGGATTTTTGTTTAATATTTTTCTATAACTTCACAATAAGCGTTTACTTTTTAAAAATATTTTTATAATTTTATTTAACATTTTCATATTTATTCAATTAACGTCGGGACGGCGCGTACGCCATTCCCGGCTACCAAAAATTACACGCACGAGTTATTCACATTAGGAATAATCGCAGAGGTCAACTCAATCGGAATGTGCAATGATCAAGTCTCGCCCTGGAGGAACCGCCTTCGTGATCACGGTTAACCTCTACGCCAGGTAAGTATGCTTTGGTTAGCTCGAACTGGAGTATATGTGCGAATACAGAAATGATGTGAATGAGAATTATGGTCAGACGGAAAGGGAAGGTATGATGTGTGATGTACAATGAAGTTGAACAAACTGTGGTCTAGTGATATTTTGTGTATGGTGGTGTGGTCGTTCGTTTTGGGGGTTGAAAAAAAGATACAACAAATGTGTTGTTGTATTAAGAAGAATATGGTTAGGTAGCTAGATATGACATTGAATATAGGGATGACGGAATGGAAAGAGGTTGTGATTGAAATAAGACTATCAAAGGTAAAGGAACAAAAGTATTGCTGACTTAAAACGTTATCATTACCGATCAAAAAAATATATATTGACCTTGAGGAATATATTTTAATAAAAAAGTAATATTTCGTCTTATCTGGGGTTTGTGTAAATATTTAAGGAATATTAATTATTTCTTCTATTAGGTTTCCAATAAATTGAGCACAATTATACTTAAAATATATTTATATCATGCGAACGATATAAACGATTTGATACAAACCTTTTATATTATTTGTTTCAATTTCGACTGATCCATTTCATTTATTTTTTAAATAGTTCTTCATTGACTATTTGTATTATATGGAGTATATATTTACGCGTGGAGGACATAGACCCGAGAAGTTGATAATATAAACAAGAGAAATGGTTAACCTTTAAATTGACACCACTTATATTGTCGTATGTACTCGGATGTGGGAGTTACACTCAAATCTTTACAGGTGCTTACGTATTCATATATTATTTAGTAACCCATTACCACACTAGAGGGCGGAAATATAGCGCTGATCGCTTTGAAATTTTCCATGAGGATCCAGGTATGACCAAGGACAACCATAATTATAAGCCAAACATCCCAACACAACCCACCGTGAAGGGAATCAGGACAAGTAATTAGAAGGGCTGTACTGAATATTAGTAGTATTTGTTCACCTCTAGTCGTTCAAGAGGGTGCAAATATCGCGAAATATTGCCCATGTTCAGAATGTGTTACCACAGAAAGTCAGATTTTTGTGTAAGTTGTGTAGGGTATCATATGTTCGACCCCGTCCGACTATACTGCTCCGCTCACTGGTTTTAAAAATATTTTTTTCAGGGACTGTCTTGAGGCGTGGATTCTTTTAAAATTATTTTTTCAGGGACTATTCTGATGTGAGGATTTTTTTTTTAATTTTTGTAGAAATTTTTTACAAAAATGTTTTAAGGGAGGCGTGCATTTTTTATATGTTTTGAGCAATTTGTAAAATATATTATTTTGAGAGAGGCCTGGATTATTTTAAAAATATTTTTTTACTGACTATCCTGAGGCGTAATTGTTTTAATATTTTTTCAGGGAGTGTCTTGAGGCGCGGAGACTATCCTGGGCAGTGGATTTTAAAAAAAAAAATTCAGGACAAAAATTGTGTTCTTCCTTATTAAAAATAATAAAAAGTAAAAAAAATTAATGGATTTAAAATAATATTTACTCAATTATAATAACTCAATTTTATTTTTATTCATATACATAACTTAAGAAATACTCTATTTTTTAATATTATCTTATTGGATACTTCAGACTTTTTCAGATTTTTAATGCCTTAGCCCTTTAATGTTGCAGCAACATTAGCAGCTTGTTGTGCCACACCAATAGTTTGAATTGTAGCATCACGGGTATGTTGACCAACACGTTCCTATAAGCGAACACATAGGAATACATTTTTAATTTTCTAATAATTATTTTCAAAATGAATATGACTTACAATTTTCTTGCCAATCTTTTTCAACCATCCAGCTTCACTTTGCCCAATACAAACAGCAGCCAAAACCAAGGCAATAAATACAAATAATTTATTGAAATTCATTTTGTGGTTTGTTTTTTATCTTTTAATATTTTAACGGATATGATGTGTGAGAGGAGCTAAGCTTTTGCTCGTATACTGTGTGTCTACAAATGAAGATGTTGCTACTGATCGAAGCTTTTATACTCATCATTTGTGTTTTGTTTAGAAAAAATGTATGGTTTCTGTTTAGCTGAATCGGAATCGTAAATCGGGGATTTACTTTGAGAGAAATTGTCGGTGATTTCACAAAACATTTGTTCGGAAAACAATATTTTGCCGCAAAGATTACTTTCTTCTTGTTATATTTTTTTAGAAATAGATGGTTTTGTTTATTCAGCTGGTTTTCCACTGTGAGAAGTTGGTAAAATGTAACACATCTATTTGATAGTATGACGACATGGAAACTGATCTATACAGATTACAATTCCCTTTGTTTGAAAAGGTTGTTAATATTTATTTTTTCAGAAATTCGTATGATTATTTGTCTAGATTTTTGTTTGTATAAGATCTTATTTTAATTGTGAACATTTTTGGTGGAGGTATCAGAGATAGGTCCATCTTCTCTTCTGTAGCCGAGATTTACACTCATGATTGGACCAAAAAGAATATGTGGGGAGAAGTGGCACCTTTGAACACTTTTTTCTTTCAAGCCTCATATTTTTTTTATTTTATAATTGTAACCTTTACAATTAATATACATATGACATACCCTAAGCTTGATATAATGACCAAAATGGTTTACGCAGATAAAGAACAAGATGTGCAAATAAAAAATTGCTTGCGAGCGGGAAACATTTTAAACCGTTATTTTAAGAGCTCCGTTCAGAGGACATAATATTTCTCCACTGCGGCGATAGGCAATCTGGCTTTCCGATTATTTTCACAAATAAAATAACTTCCATGACAGTTTTCGGGCATATGGCAAACCTACATACACATAGCTCGCCCACGCTATGTTCTTCAGGTTATATCTAAATGGGTATTTTTTACTGCATAAAATCAACTTATAATTCGAGAAATCAATGATTTGTTCATTTTAGAGCTCATATGTTTTTACTATAGAGTTGCTTTAGTTTTGTCCAAAAAAAATTAGGCAATTTCCTTATCCATAAATTATACTTTTTTTAAGTGAATAAAGAACTCGATTTAAAACTGGAAAGACCATCGTGTTGGTCTGGATCTCTATTTTTGAAAAATTTATGAGGCATTTATTATCCTTGCAATTTCAGTTGCTTTAGTTTTGGCCACCAGTGTATATAGGGGTGTTTATGTCAAAACATAATCCTGTATTAAAGCTTTTCATAGAAGATGTTTGTTTAGCACCAAGGTATAACACCCCGATAGTCACTTCAGTTAAAAATCCGTCTAAAACCCAACAATATACGTAAAACGACCTGGTTCCGACATTGTACGGTATCTGTAGCAAAACATGGACCGATTGAAAATGGGATATTATCAATATCAAAGAGCATACTAGTATTAGTCCGGATGATTGATATATTAGTTTGGGGAAAAAGAAATCCATTATTCTATATCTTCTATAAATTGTTTAAAACAGTTATCGTCGATTTTTAGCTCCTGGGCGAAGTTACGACTGCTAACGTGACGGTCAACTTCGATCATTTCTCCAATTTCATCGACATTTTTGACGACCGGTCTACCTGTGCGTGGTGCATCTTTACCATCAAAAATTTCTGAACGGATCTATGAAACCAAAATTGCTCATAATTGGATGTTACAGTATCGGAACTATAAACTCCATTCGCAATTTTAGCCACTCGGCTTATATTTTCGCCTTTTTCAAAGAAAAACTGTAAAATGTACCGAATTTTCTCTTTGTTTGCTTCTATTTTTAACATCCTGTAACTCACAACTGAATGCACCAATAGTGACACCCTTCCAAAGAGCATAAATCTGAAATTGTTTGATGGTGAAGTGTATCGATCAAATAAGTATCGAAATCTATCAGTACACCCATCTGTCGAAAAAAAATGGATTTATTTTTTTCTCAACCTAATATTAATAGGTCCAACATGCTTATACTTTATTAATGTGTACAATAAAAATACACTAAAAATTTAGTTTTTTACAATTTTTTATTTAAATAAATACTTAAATTCTACATAAATTATCACGTCTTTTACATATCAAATAAATTATTTATTTCCCCTTCAATGTTGCAGCTACATTTGCTGCCTGTTGAGCAATTCCAATAGTTTGAATGGTAGCATCTCGGGTATGTTGTCCAACACGTTCCTATAAAGAAAATAAATACAAAAATTATTTTTTAATAAATTATTTATCATTTTAATTTTATTAAATTCCACTTACAATTTTCTTGCCAATCTTTTTCAACCATCCTGCTTCACTGCTACCAACAAAGACAGCCAAAACAAAGGCAACAAAGACAAATAATTTATTAAAGTTCATTTTGATTTTTTTGATTATTAAAATAGGTTTGTGTTGTGTGGATTGTTGCTGTTTGCACTGAAGCTTTATTCTGCTTTAAGTTCAAAATGAAACTGATGTCGATCTTCGCCGCAATCTAAGCTTTTATAGTCAATAATTTCTTTTGGCTACATGTACGACGACGAATGACACATTTTGTGTTTCCGATATTTTTTGTTTGTTGAATAAGGAGCACGCCAACTGTTGAGGGGAACCACATTATCATAATTGTAGGGGAATACGTTTTTTACCCACAAATAAGACTTTTTTGTTTAGTGGTGTTATTGATGTCTATACAGCCTCCTTTTTCGTTTAGCAACAAATGAGGAAATATTTAGGGTGATTAGCCTTGACTGTGATTTTTTGTGTAGATAATTTGTTGTGAATGAAAGATGAAATGGGAATTCCCTCGTCCTCCAGAAAAAAATATTTCAAATTCAAACTATTTTTTTATTGTTTGGTAAATCCAACAGCTCCTGTTTGGATTCTTCTTTTATCTCCTCAATTGTAGCAAAACGCTATCATTTTATCGATGTTTTCGATTTTAGGAACATGAAAAAGTTCGCCGGTGGCAATTCCGGTGAATATGACTTGCGTCAAAATATTAACGGTGAATTATACAGAAGGGACTGGTGATTATAATGTAAGTGAAAATTATCAACAATTTTAAAATAATAATAAGAAAATGCCCATATAAACTCAGAAACATGATTTTTTCCAAAAAAAAAAAAAAAAAATGAAAAAAATCGGCGCCTTGATAATTTTTACTAACATGGAATGCTAAGTTCGCATTGTGTGGTACATATTCCTAAAAAAAATATCAATTTTGCTCCACTATTTAGATTTTGAGCTCGTTTTTCAACCAAATTGGCTATAATTCAAATTAAGGTTTGTCATAATTTTAAGACCATAATTCATTAAAATACGATTTCATGCTATTCTGATTTTAAATGCGGCAAAGAAATTTCACATTTGTAATTAGTGGCAGTAGCTCTACAAAGGTGTTCAACAATAATTTTATTAATTCAACTTTAAAAAATGACCGCCGTTGTAGATCCACCCTATTAAATTTTTACGTTTTTCTTGCAGAATCGCCACTGCTCCAATTATGGTCAATAAATGGGATCTCTAGCCCATAGTGAATGTCAGAAACTTCTGATAGTAATTCGTTTTCTTCAATAATAATTTAATCGGTGGTTGACGTGCCGGGGGCGATAAGGCGGATCATCGTCATTGACCTCCTCACGGCTTCCCTTAACCAGTGTTGCCAATTTAGCACTTTTAGTGCTACATTTAGCACTTTTTAAACTCGTTGAGCATCGAAAAAAGTTATCTAGCACTTAGCATATTTTTTAGCACTTTGCTATTAGTTTGATTTCCCATGTTAAAAAAAATGTCAGAACATATTTAAATAAGTAAAATCGCCTTAAAAATCGGACGGACCCATGTCAATAATAGATCAAATTCGATTTTTTTTTTAAATTACAGCCACTTCGGTTCTTAAACTGTAAAATTACCCAAATAGGATGAAAACTTTTTATGGGTCCCAACATTGACTCATGTAGAACATTGTCCACATAAATATGTTCTATCCTGCAAGAATGAGGCTAAAACCTTAAAAATATCCAAATATTTATTTCCCCAAAACCCCGCAGTATGGGTAAATTTGGTTATAAGCCTTCAATGTACCGAAAATCAGGTGGTACCGCTATGTAGTACCTATATAGTAGGGTATAAATTTTTTGTGGGAAGCTTTGCTATCCCCTTAGAATCAAAAGTATCAATTCGGGTGAAAATGCCAAAATTCCGAATAATGGGAGTATCGCTCTCTGGTGGCTACCCTAAAATATGGACGAACATTGATAATTTTAAGTACGAACATATTTTTTTAAAATGAGAATGCAAAATATAAAATTGGAGCCATGGAAGCCTTCGTTTGAAAATCGTACCCACAGGACCAAAATAATGTATAATAAAGGTATCGCTCTATGGAGGCTAAACCGAAACATGTACCCATATTGATAATTTTTGAAAATGATATTTATCACAAAAAGAGGGCTACTCTAAAAATGGACCAATATTGATTCTTTTTAATTGAAAGAATTTCTACCCATGGAGAATGCAAAATACAAAATTACAGCAAATTATGTAGGAAAACGTAACCAAGATCTTCAAAATATGGAATATTGGGATACCCTAAAAATGGCCGATATATCCTATTTTCAATACCAAACCACCTTGGAGTAGTGGCAATGTATGTGCACAATATCAAATTCTGACGACGGCGACATAGAATTTTATTCTGATTTAGAACAGATGGGGTCTCAGGAGAATATTTCGAGGTGATGGAAACAAATTTAATATTCACCCACCCACCTTGTGAGGATATAATGAATTATATGAATGTAGTATGAACACATTTCTCCCTATACATTTTTAGCACTTTTATTTGGCACCTTTTTACAATTTTTCAGCACCTTCTAGCATTTTTTCAAACAAAATCTAGCATTTTTTATCAACAAAGTTCTGGCAACACTGCCCTTAACCTACAATACCACAATTGGACTTTTGTTCAGAGATGGAAAGATCCAAACTTTTTACATC